TAGGGAAGGTTTTTACATTTATCTGTGGGTATCCAGGGCTCATGTATGGAATTACTAACCAGCATAACTGAATAATCAGATAAGGGACATTTTGCTATGTCTGCTAGGTGGCTAAAGTCTGATCCTCAGAGCCTATGGTTTGGACGGTCAGCAATGCTTGGGCCCACAGGGAGTTGAACTCCTGACCGGGTCTGCACGGTCTGCATCAGATTCCCCCTTATTTATTATTTGTTTAAGGTATGAGCTTTTAAGATCACAGTTGTTGATTACCAAAGTAGGATGTAGAACATTGCCTTTGTGGACTATGTTATACCAGTTGATCTTGGTGTCCCTGAGATCATGGTCCTGAGGCTCCAAGACCCAGCGACAAATTCCTTCAAGGTGTTTGGTTATGTCTAAGAAGTTTTATAACTTTGCCCCCTGTATACTACACCACAATCATGGGTATATGTGCTGCAAAGATAAATACCCAAACACAGATATCCTCTGTCAAACCTTTATATGTTTGTGAGTAAACTCTCATTCTTCCTCCTGTACCCATTCAGCCTGAGTATCATCTGTGTACCCCATACATATTACTGGCATTACAGGAGTGTATATTTACCTATTTTGCCTTTAACCAAACCTTGCATTTCTCCCCAGGTCTCCCCTAGTCTCCATCATTTTTTTAAATCAACCTTTCTCTTATTGTATATTGCCTTTCCTTCACCCAAGTTAACATGTATCTACCCTCTAACCAGTGAATTACTTCCATTTCCCTCCCACCCCTGGTAAGCATCACAGAATGCTTCTTTTAGTGTGAAAAATGCAGAGTACTGCCCCTTAGGATAAGTAAAATTCAGGTATACATGAGTAGCTCTGTCTTTCTCAGCAGATCCATACCAACCACTTTATTATGTTTTACCTTGGGGCTTTTTCTTTCTTTCTTTTTTGTATTATGCTAAGATTTTACTGTGCTTGTTTTATTTTTAAATAAAAGCTTTCAATGTAATTTACATCGCGTGTAATGCACCCATTCAGAGTGCATAGTTCACTGTCTGTCAGTGTCTTCACAGAGTTGTGTGGCCATCAACATCATTAATTTGAGAACATTTACATCACCCTGCCCAAAAAGAAACTGTCACTCCTCATTTCCCTCCAACTCCCTAGTCCCTGACAACTACTAATCTATTTTGTCATTCTGGGTTTACCTATTGGGGTCATTGCATAAAAATGGAATCATACAATATATGGTCCTTTGTGACTGACTTCTTTAACTTTACATACTGTTTTCAAGGTTCATTCATGTTGTGCCACAAGTTGGCACTTCGTTTCCTATTAGTGTTGAAAGTTGTTGTTAAGTAGCTTCGAGTCGATTCCAACTCACAGCGACCCCACATAGAGTTTCCAAGGAGTGGCTGGTGGATTTCAAAACCACCAAGCTTGCAGTTCAAACCAACCTTTTGGTCCAGTGCTTATCCTGCAACGCCACACCAAGACTCCTGCTGTTGACTAGCATTCCATTATATGGACATACCACAGTTTTTATTCATGTATCAACTGACATTTGGATTTTTTCCATTTTGCGGTATTAAGAGTAATGCTGCTATGATTATGAACAATTTTTTGTATCATTGTGTATTTTCAGTCCTTTTATCTTTAAGGTTGCTATTTTCTTTGAGATTCGAATTAACAGTGGGAAGCACTGTTCTGTAGTGGCTAGGAGCTCAGACTTCATAGCGTGGCAGACTTAGTTATGTATTCTGGCTCTATCACCTCAGAGTTATGTGACCTTGGACAAGCTACTTAACTGTTCTGTGATTCAGTTTCCTCTATAAAATGGGGATACTTATGTGGTTGTTGTTAGGTGCCATCGAGTCGGTACCGACTCATAGCGACCCTGCGCACAACAGAACAAATCACTGCCCAGTCCTGGGCCAACCTCACAATTGTTGCCACGCTAGAATCCATTGATGCTGCCATTTTGCCAGTCCATCTCGTTGGGGGTCGTCCTTACCAAACATGATACCCTTCTCCAGCGACTGGTCCCTCCTGACAGTATGTCCGAAGTATGAGAGACAAAGTTTGGCCATCCTGGCCTCCAAGGAGCACTCTGTCTGCACTTTTTCCAACACTGATATGTTTGTTATTTTGGCAGCCCATAGCACTTTCGATATTCTCCTCCAACACCATAACTCAAAAGCATCAATTCTACAGTCTTCCTTATTCACTGTCCATGGCTTGGGTCAGGTGTACCTTAGTCCTCAAGCTGGCATCTTTGCTCTTCAGCACTTTAAAAAGGTCTTGTGCAGCAGATTTGCCTAATGCAATACATCGTCTAATTTCATGACTGCTGCTTCCATGAGTGTTGATAGTTGATCCAAGAAGAATGAAGTCCTTGACAATTTCAATCTTTTCTCCGTTGATAAGAATGTTGTTTATTGGTCCAGTGGTGAGGATTTTTGTTTTTTTTACATTGAGATGCAATCCATACCAAAGGCTGTGGTCTTTGATCTTCTTCAGTAAGTATTTTAAGTCCTTTTTGCTTTCAGACTATAGTCCCTACTTAATTGAGTATGAACATGCATGGGTGATACAAGTGTTATATGAGTGATAGCTATTGTTTTTATTTTTATAACTCAGTTTCTTTGTAGGAATCTTTTTAATTACTTCATATTGTGCAGATTAAGTTGAAACTGGATGAGATTGGCAAATTTATTTAATCATACACAAGTAAATTAGAATAGGTCACAGTATTCTAACTAAGAACCAATATTAAAGATGTCCGTGCCAGATGGAATGCCCACTGAGAATCCTAATGAGCCTGGCAGGACAGAGGTGACTATGACACACATGAACAAGGTTACTTTGCTCTGTCTGTATTTTCAGTATCAGTCAAGCTTCATATCTGAATCTTTTTGGAGAAGAAAGCCTTAGATTCTATTTGTGTTTCTTCATCCCCAGTTCCACCTCCTTGTTCCCTTAGCCATCTTCACACTACATTGGAGACTCCTTTCCAAGGTAGAAACAAAAGGTTTTGAAAACTCTGCTGAATAATTTTCGAAGCCTCTTACTTCACAGTTTTACCTAAGCAATCCCTATTGAGTGTAGTTAGTTTACCTTTAAGTCATCCTTCTTACTATTTCCAGAGTAATTTCTCAAGCAGCTTTTAAATAAAATCAAAAGTGTAGCTGTATAGTTTTTGAGTAATTTTAATGTATCTTAAAACTAAAATATTAATTAAAAGTGTTACAAATATGTGAGGGTATCAATGTAGTAAGGCCCCTCCATGAAAACAATTTTTGCTCCTTCCTCTTGGGACCTAGTGGTAAGACAGAAGTGATCCCATAAAGAACTCAGTCTGGATGCTGGTACTCTAAGGATTGCTGGGCAATTGTCCACCTTTGGCGCCTAACTAGATGGTGTTTTAGGTCCCACTCACTGTTTCATAATTTGAGCACCTACTTTGCTAGGTCCAGAGATTGATTAAAATGAAAATTATCCTGTCTTTACAGTATGTTCCTTCTAACATGTGAGATAAATCCTGCTAGGATATCCCTACCCCACCGTAGACTGTTGGACCAAAGTCCTAATGCATTTTTTCTGGGGTGGGGGGATATCTCTATGATCTGTCTCTTCCTTCCTGTTCTCAGCCTGGTGGGTATTTTAATGACACAGGCGGTCCCCAGTTGAACGTCTGAGGCAGTCAGCAGGAGGCTGGAGTGTGTGACTACACTGAGCATGTGTGGTCCTTTGGCTGAGCTGCCTCTGCAGCCTGGCTGACTCCTCCCCGAGGTGCTGCTCCGGACATTCCTTCCAGTTGTCATTCTCTGTCAGAAGTACGCCTAGGTTTTCTAACAGCTCTTGAAATCTCTAGTTTGGAATATGTGAGTTAGGCGACTCAAATGATATTCCACTGAGAGAGAATTTGTCATCGGCACATTAAGCAAACACAGATTCTGTTTCTCTCGCGATTGTAATCAGTCGGCATGGATGTCCAGCTCTTGTATTATATTTTTTCTATTGGCTGAATTTATGGGAAATTTTGTTGATTTGAATGCCAACATTTAGCAGACTTAAGGAGCTTATCAGACAGCCTAACTATGAACAGGTCTTGACAGTGGCCCATTTTGGCCCAGCATCATCACTAGGAAGGCTCCGTGGGTTCAGAATCTTTGAAGTGATTTATTTGCCTGACATTTCCCTCCTGTGTTCTCCATTTAGTTGAGCAACTTGCATCTTAAGGAAGAGAAAATCAAACCAGATGCCAATGGTGAGTGACTAAATGCTAGTTTTAAGCAGATGTATCTTTCTTTTGTATTTGTTTTGGCGTAACATCAACTACCTGGAAAATAACTTTCTATGTACCAGACAGACAGATGCTGACAGTTATTTGATTTGGGAACCAACAAGCTGAATTGTGTGATCACACTTTGCTTAATATAAGCATGAGGATGTCTAGTTGGCTTATAAAGTATTCATTTGTTTTTCTAACCAGGGGGATAGATAGCTAAAGATTATTTGTTGCTATTTTAATGTTCCTTAATTTGGGATGAGATATATGATCAAACAATCTGAGAGTTTCCCTATTCTAAATATTTTGAAATCAGATCTATCAATAACCTAAGATTTCCCATTAATTTTGTGTTGATATAGTTAATATTATGGGATGGTGGAATGTAACATTCACCTCACTTTGAATTCACATAACCTTTTTTTTGATGTATTCTTGTATTTTTATATAATTACATATCCTTTGTGTTGTGTTTTTCCAAAAATTAAGTTTGAATATATATTTGTATTATCAACAGTTTATATACATACAATTTTAGTGGCATTAAATTGTGCTCATATACTGATATCTTGTATTGTATATCACAGAAATTTCTGATAATTCTGCTATAATCATCTTCTAGTAACATTTGAAAAAATATTTACATTGCAAGGGAAAGAAATCCTCATTTTTAGGGTGGGTGAGGGGGCCTGGAGTAGGAAGGCATGAAAGTATAAGCAGCAGTATTTCATACCTTTGATTAGGAACAAGTTTTGTTTTGTTTTGTTTTTTTAAATCAATGGCTCGGTTTCCTCATTTCTTTCTTTGCTCCCTAGGCCTTTATGTCTGTATTGTCTCATAGAATTTGAATTGTCTCAGTTGTTGGGTATAGGATGTCATATTGAATGATGGCCACTTTATGTCTGATAAAGGTGCTGTTGTCAAGACCAATGCTAACACAGAGAAGACAGATGAAGAAGAAAAAGGTAACAGCCATAGAGCTACATAAGTGAGGGGCCATGGTTTAAGAGAAGAGTTTGAAATAAGGCCTTATTTTTATATCTAACTTGGCATGATCTGAATGGAAGTCACGGTGCTAGTATGAAAGTTCAACATTTAAAATTTACATTTTAGGGAAATTCTACATTGAACAACTGATGAACTTCAACAGCAGCAGAAAATATTCTCCGAATGCTTATGTCTTACAGAGCATTATAAAAGAAATGTTAAGCTGCATCCCCATAGACTAATGAAATAGTTCTTAATGAATGGTATTTGTTAAGTACCATCAAGTCGGTTCTGACTCATAGTGACTCAGTATAGCGTTTCCAAGGAGCGACTGGTGAATTTGAACTGCCGACCTTGTGTTTCAAACTGACCTTGTGGTCCAGTGCTTTATGCTACCCACAGTGTCACACCAGAAGTCCTTAGTAATTAGAAGCATTCAAAATGGATGACAAGATGTAAATAGCTTATAAAGGATTAAGGTATTGATAGTTGTTGTTAGGTACCATCGAGTCTGTACTGACTCATAGCAACCCTATGCACAACAGAATAAAACACTGCCAAGTCCTGTACCAACTTCACAGTCATTGCCAAGTGTGAGCCCATTGCTGCTGCCACTGTGCCATTCCATCTCGTTAGGGGGTCTTCATCTTTTTCTTTGACTGTCTACTGTACCAAACATGTTATCCTTCTTGAGGAACTGGTCCCTCCTGATAAAATGTCCAAAGTATGAGAGATGAAGTCTGGCCATCCTGGCTTCCAAGGAGCACTCTGGCTGTACTTCTTTCAACACAGATCTGTTGGTTTTGGTCAGCTCATGGTGTTTGTAATATTCTTCTCCAACACCATAACTCAAATGCATTAGTTCTTTTACAGTCTTTATTATTCACTGTCCAACTTTCACATGTATATGAGGTTACTGAAAATACCATGGTTTGGGTTGGGCATACCTTAGTCCTCAAGCTGACATCTTTGCTTTTGAATACTCTAAGGAAGTCTTGTGCAGCAGATTTGCCTAATGCAATATGTCGTTTGATTTCTTGACTGCTGCTTCCGTGAGTGTTGATGGTGCATCTGAACAAAATGAAGTCTTTTGAAAACTTCAATCTTTTCTCCATTTATATGGATATAGTTGATTGGTCCAGGGGTAAAGACTTTTGTTTTTTTTTTAATATTGAGTGCAACCCTTAACAAAGGCTGTGGTCTTTGATCTTCATCAGTAAGTATTTTAAGTCCTCTTCACTTTCAACAAGAAAGTTTGTGTCATCTGCATATGGCAAGTTGTTAATGAGTCTTCCTGCAATCCTGATGCTACAGTTTTCTTCATATAATCCAGCTTCTTGGAATATTTGCTCAGCATACAGGTTGAATAAGTATGGTGAAAGGATACAACCCTCGCATACACCTTTCCTAATCTTAAACCATTGGATGTTCCCTTGTTCTTTTCGAACAACTGCCATTTGGCCTATGTACAGGTTCCTCATGAGCACAATTAAATGTTCCAGGATACTCATACTTCGCAATGTTGTCCATAGCTTGTCATGTCCACACAATTGAAAGCCTTTGCATGGTCAGTAAAGCACAGGTGAACGTCTTTCTGGTATTCTCTGAAAGAAGAATACCTGTGCTGTATTGAGTATGCAAAAGCTTTTTATCAAGATACAGACTTTTAATTCCAGTTTATTTTAATTGTTGTGATTTATTTTAGCTAATAGTTGGAAATTTATTTTGATTGCCAATAGGGGAATAAATAATTGGTCTAGATTGGATAAATATATAGCCTCAGAAAATAGATAGCCTTGATGGGGAAAAATCCTGTATCCAGTCGATTCCAACTCATAGCAAAGCTGTACTGAGAAGAGAATTCTGGAAAGACTTGATGCTAACTAGTTCATGGGGGTATCATATTTTTTCCTTTTATGAAACACCGTTAAGGGGAGAAACATTGGGATAAAAGAAGGATAAAAATGGTTGCAGAGTCCTGGTATGGCACTGTAGGATAAGCATTTGACCATCAGGTCGGTTTAAACTGCAAGGTCAGTGGTTCAAACTCACCAACCACTGCTTGGAAACCCTATACAGGGTCTCTATGAGTCAGAAACAACTTGAAGGCACTTAACAACAACAACAAGAATGCTTGCACAACTTGAAGAATGTAATTAGTTTCACTGAATTCTAGAAACTGTTGAATTGATACAAGTTTTGCTGTGTATATTCTCAACAACAAAGAAAATAAAATATACAGTTAAAAAATAATGGTAGTCTGGAATAGAGGAGATATTTCTTCTGCTGAAAAAACTTTAAAAATTATATTTATTAATATGTGATCTACCATGGAGTAGAAGGTCCCATTTGTCTCTTATTCTTTGTACATGTTGTCAGGAGGAACCAGTCACTGAAGAAAAGACATCTTGCTTGGTAAAGTAGAGGATCACCAAAAAAGAGAAAGACCCTCATGAAATGGGTTGATACAGTTGCAGCAATGATGGGCGCAAACCTAACAATTGTGAGGATGGCACAGGACCAGGCAGGGTTTCATTCTGTTGTGCAAGGGTCGCTATGAGTTGAAACATCTTAGTTGGCACCTAACAAGAATTTAAAAATACAATGGCAGTTGAATTCAGGCTAGCTCATTGTGGATTTCATGGACTTTAAGGAGCTTTGCTCTCCTTCTCTGACAGAGGACAGAGCTGCCCAGTCCTTACTCAACAAGCTGATCAGAAGCAACCTGGTGGATAACACAAACCAGGTGGAAGTCCTGCAGCGGGATCCAAATTCTCCCCTCTACTCTGTGAAGTCTTTCGAAGAGCTCCGGCTGTGAGTACTTGGTTATTTTGTTTTGCATGTAAATAGAGATCAGAAGCCTCTAATAGGAGCACTGGTTGTTGTTGTAGTTGTTTATTGCCTTTGAGTCATAGTAACACTGTATAGGGTTTCCAAGGAGTGGCGGGTAAGCTTCAACTGCCGATCTTGCTGTACAAGCCAGCTTTGCAGTCCAGCACATTAGCCCACAGTGCCAC